TTGGACTGTATCGACTCGGCGAGTCGTTCTTGGGACTCGACGAGTCCGAGGTTAGACTCCCCTTTTCTGTTATGGGTCAAGGAGACCCAGTGGAGTGCTGGAAAGGTTTTAGAGGGTCCGGAGGAGTGACCCCAACGTATTGGGATAAGCCATAGTCCTGGAGTTCATAGGACTCGGCGAGTACATGAACAGACTCGGCGAGTCCAAGGCAATCTCCTAACTCTTGAGGATGAACTCGACGAGTTGTTCATACAACTCGGCAAGTCGGATGAAGGTTTATCTGGGGTTGTTCTAGAAGGAGAACTCGTCGAGTCGTTGCCAAACTCGACGAGTAGAGGCGTGAAGAAGGACAGATGAAAGGATAGGGACTCGACGAGTTGGCGGCCCAACTCGGCGAGTCGGGTCAACTGGAAGTTGACTTTGACTTTGTCTTGGACTTGGTCAGGGTAAAATGGTCATTTTACCCTGAGAATAGATATCAGACTCTGACTAAGTGTTTTGTGGGGATTATAGCCGGAGGATTTTCGGAGCAGCAGCAGACAGAGACTTTCCCCGCGTAGATTATCAGCAGCTTCGTTCAAGGTGAGTTACCTTTCAGTAGCGGTGGGTCTACGGCCACAATGTCGGCCCACCAGTAGGAGTTGTATGTTAGATGATTGTCTTTGTGATATTCATCTAGTTTTGCTACTACCTGATATGTTATATGCTGGCATGATATGTTATATGTGATAGTGGTAGTAGGGGGAGAATAGTCCCCCAAGTTCGGTTGTTAGGACCGAAGGGTAGGTCGGACAACCCAGATATGTCTGACAATATGTTATGATATGTTTATATGTTGGCATGATATGTTATATGTGATAGTGGTAGTAGGAGGGGAATAGTCCCCAAGTTCGGTTGTTAGGACCGAAGGGTAGTTCGGACACCCCAGATATGTATGATAATATGTTCATGTTATGATATATGTGATAGTAGCAGTAGGGGTGGAATAGTCCCCGAGGTTCGGTTGTTAGGACCGATGGGTAGGTCAGCACCCCAGAATGGCTTGACACGGGTAGGTCAGCACCCCAGAATGGCTTGACATGGGTAGGTCGGCACCCCAGAATGGCCGTACCGGGTAGGTCCGGCACCCCAGAATTTCCCGACAGTATGTATGTTATATGATTGTATGGTATGTGGTACGATTGGGGGAACTCACTAAGCTTCGTGCTTACAGTTTTCAGTTTTGTTTCAGGTACCTCTTCAGCAAAGGGGAAGGAGCCGGCGCGGTAGCTGCACATCATACACACACTGGATTCCGCATTATGAGATTTCTTGGGATTGTACTCTGACATTGTTACTACTTTTACGATATGATTTTCAGACATGAGATTATGGTTTTTACGAAATGATATGACTTCATGATATTTTCTTATGAATGTTTTCTAAGTCGTTATATAAAAAAATCAAAATTTTTGGACTCGAAAAATGGGATGTTACAAAAACATTTCCAAAACATGCCCGTTATTTAATTAAGGGTGTCGCCAAATTATAAAATCAAGTATCAAGTAGAGGAAAACCAGAGAGGTACTTTGTATTATAACTTGTCAATGGTACATTAGAACATTAGAGAATATCACATTTCTCCTAAAATTCTAATACGATTTGAGTTGACCTGGTTGACTTTTATTGACTTTGTTTGACCAAAAATTGGCGTTTGTCACACATAGTTACTTTCATCTTACACATAGATATGAAATATTTAATATAAATTACATTCTATGTGTGTATATTATCTGTGTTCTTGATATCTATGCTGGATGAACAAAATATACATGTTTTATTTGATTTAAACTGTATATGTATTTTATACCTATGATTATGATGGGTAAAGATGGGTAGATGATATAGATGATGAGATAAATGATGAGAGACCTCAACGTTTAAACTGATCCAGTCATCTAGCGGAGTATAGATGACGATCACGTGCTATTCTAGACAGTCCAGTGGAACGCTAGCAGGCTCGTAGGCTATAGGTGTTTTTAAACTACGTGTTCACCAGGTGTACTTCATCCCCCTCATGGTTGCCTTTCTGACATATATTGCCGAGGAATCCCCTAAGCAGTGTTGTCCATCCCGATGATAATCCTTAGGCTAGGTCCCTTAAATTAGATGCTTTAGGAATAGAAACTGAGGATAACGAGAATGAGTAATCAGGTTGAATGATTTGATGAAATTAATGAACTTAATTATTGTGGGTTGAAAACCCTATGTGCTCACCAAACTCCCAAGCCTGACCCACTCAGTTTCTTGTATTACAGGTAGTGGCAAATAGGGGTGTAAATGAGCCGAGCCGAGCCCGAGCCTGACCAAGCTCGAGCTCGGCTCGTGAACAATTTAGTGGGCTCGCGAGCCTAATTGAGCCTAAACGAGCCTCTATGTATATTATATATATGTGTGTGTGTGTGTGTGTTTGTGTGTATGTATGTATGTATGTATGTGTGTGTATATATATATATATATACACATATATATATATATATATATATATATTATATATATATATATATATATATATATATATATATATATATATATATAGGCTCGTTTAAGCTCGTTTAGGCTCGCGAGCCCATTGATTGAAGCTCGGCTCGAGCTCGTTTAATAAACGAGCCTCATATTTAGGCTCGAGCTCGGATCAGGCTCGTTTAATTCGATCTCGAGTCGAGCTTTTAACGAGTCGATCCCGAGTAGCTCACGAGTAGCTCGGCTCACTTACAACCCTAGTGGCAAAAGAGCACATGAGTGTTGATCTGATGAGAGATGTATGGATTATAGGTCATTAGAATAATAGATATTTGTAAGGTTTGTACTATTTCTGTTTATGCTTATGTAATGTATTGACAATGATATCCCAACGTTTTTAATATAATTAAAATACATTTCTTCGGAAATGCTTTGATAATATCATTATCATATTTTTTGGAACAAATTCCGCAATATTATTCTCCAAACAAAGATACTTCGATTATAAAAAATAAAGCATAAACAAATCGATCTTTTCTAGCCGTGAAATTAGGGATATCACAGCTACATGGGGCGTTGGAGGTACTACAACATCCCCAACTAAAGAAATTGTACCATGTTTTTTAATACCTAAGATAAGATAGCTACATAAAATATATATTGACAATGTTTGTACCTATGTATCAAAATTTATGGCTCCGCCACTGGTGATGAGTGAGGGCGAAAAATACATGCAATAACTTTTCCATTAAATAACAAATTAGATAATAAAAAAAAGTAAGCGTAAAATAGTTTTTATGTGTAAGGCAGTGATCAAAGACGCAACAAAAGCATATTCTAAGGATCTCTGAGTTAAAAATAGTTAAAGACCAAACGTACAGATTAACCCAAACCACAAGGACCATTCATGTAATTTACTCTTTTTATTATGTTATATATTTGTCATGGAGCCAAGCAGCAGCAGGAGATTTCGTGTTCCACGAGGCCTATAAGGCTATAGGCATTACCGATTACTTGCTTAATTGGCAAACAATACCTTTCTATATATTGCTATTATTGAAGCCACAATAATCTTTGGACTTCTACTCTGCTCAAGCTTATTATTCCACAGAAATCGTCTACCGCACTCAATCGGGTAATTTTAAGGGTTTAATGGTTTACGTTCATGCAATTCAATATTCGCTTACAGCTCTTCTTGAAGTGTTATTTTTTCTGCATTTTTTATTGAGTAGACCAGAGCTTAGATTGTTTTGGGGTTTCTTCAAGTAATCTACAATACAAATTCAAAACCTTGATGGTTTCTTGAAGTATTGGTTTTTCTGCTTTAGTCACACTCATTCAATTAATTGATCGTTAGTTGATCAGTTTGACATGTGGCTTATCACTTTATTGGTTTCTGCATTCTTAATTCGCATAAGTATCATTTGATTTGTGTTTTAGTGATACCCGCTATAAAAAAGTTAGCATAATTTAATTTGCTGGTTCAAGAACTTTGTTTTTCGTTTACATCTCTGTGATCGAGTAATTGTATTCGTTCTTATTGTTTATTAATAATAGAAAAGCAAGTAACATTGTTATCTTATATTAGGGATTTATTTTAGATTAGACATGTACTGATGTACAAATCTATATTGTTATCTTCATGCTTCTTTTAATCCTTTTCTTTCATTATGTTTTTTTTTAATAGTTTAGATCAGACATATAGGGATGTACAAATTCATATCTAATTGCTGATAAATTCATGAAACATTTTCTGCTTTATACCATAGTTTTGTTTTTTGTTTTATTTGACCACCTGGGTCATAACTCTTATGATGGTATGAAACTGATTATCTTGTATAATAATGGGCAGATAAAGTGATTTTTAATAGTAATGGGTAAGAGAAGGAGTACGACTAGAAACAAGAAGTATGATGCATCTAGCAGGAAGAGGGGTGGGATACCCCACTGGTCAGATCTTAACCATGATGTGGTTATTCAGTTATGATGCGACTTGGAGTTGTTGAATTTGTTTCATTTAGCAGAGTTTGCAAGTCATGGAGGTCACTCGCACTCTCTAACAGGAAGAGGTTTATGGCGTGCAGACCACCCATGGCCATGCTTGTGGATAAGAGTAGCTGCTACCTTCAGGACTTTGAAGGAAACGAGTTCTTCCCCATTCGACTGATAGGACATGTATTGGAGTAACATGTGGTTACTTGATTTTATTCGGCCGTGACATCTGGCTTGTGAATATTATCACAGGGCATCAACTTCATTTCCCTGATGTCCCCTTTGATGTTGTTTTTGATCCTGAACAAATTCAACACATGAGGGCTATCCTTGTCTTTTCACCTTGGATAAATGGGTGGGTGTTTGTTATGTTAAAGAGATTCAAATATAAAATATGGTTTTCTATAGCAGGTAAAAGGAGCATGGAATCATGTTTCATCCAGTCTCCCTCTCTATGATTAATGATTTACATCCTTTCAAGGGGAAGATATATATGCTAAGCACAGATGATTCACGAGCAGGGGCACATGTATGGGAAATGCGACTCAACCCTATGCTGCCTAAATTCACGTTTTTTCATACACATTTTATCAAGTCCATCTCTTTGGCTTTTGATTTTATTAGTTCGGATGAAAACCTTTATTTAATGGAATACTGGCCAATAGATCTTCACAAGCTTCGCAGACTAGACTTTCATCAACTGAATTGGGTGCCTTGTGAAAAGACAATGGAAGAATATTCATTGTTTCATAGCTTCTTGAAGCATGGTGATGTGGTTAAACCAAAGTCATGGCCCACCCCATCATCACCATACAGGAGATTTTTTGATACTGATACACCTGGAAAAGGTAGGTGTATTTCTTCAACATTGTGGTACTTCCCTCAAGATTGTTTGAATGTAACTCTCCTAGATGAGTGATATGGACTTGTTACCACTATTTTATTTTGTTTGTTTTTATCTTTTCATATGTTTGAACGTTTATCAATATCTGTTTTTTTTCTCAATCTATCGTGTAAACAATTAGGTTGGTATCCCCTCTTTGCTTCATATGGAACAGGTATCAGTTGTCTTCCTTTTATGTGATGAACGACATTTTGGTTTTAATTGAGAATGTTATTGAGAGAATAGTGGTGCCAACAGGGATGGTGATGGTGGATATGGTATTTTTGTAATTCCGGGTTATGGTTTTAGCTAATGACCCAAGATTATTTATTATGTGTATCGGTGTACGTTGTTCTTTTTCAGAGAATTATTTAACTTATACTTTCTAATTTTTGACACATCATGATTCGTTGTTAAAACATTAATAGCACAAAAAGATGGGATTTTCATGTGATGAGAATTTTTGGCACCACCACTAGGAATAAGAGGATTAGCAATGACATGTCATCGTTAATGAATCACTGCAATTGACTTGTAGCTAATACTCCAGGGTGCCATGTTTTGGCTTCGTCGCTATTGCTTGGTGTCACTAATACTCCTATGTCGCAGCTAATGAGTTGTCAGCGTAATCCAGTCCCCAGATTTGAAGATAACCATTAACATCTGCCTACAAATTAAGTATATAAATTAAAAAACAAACTAAAAAACAAATTAGTACTTAACAATTATGTCACAGATGCATTAAGTCTAACAATTTAGCAAACTATCAAATTCATAACAAATAAATTAAGTCCTTAACGATTGAACAAAGTACCAAATTACCAAATTTATAACAAATTTATATAGGTCCTTAACAAATTAACAAAGTACCAAACTACTTAATTCACAATAAAATGCATTTAGTTGATTTTGGTGTGACGGTGTCACATCCGTGAATTCGGGCTAAACATTTTTGTTGCTAATTAAAATGTTATTTAAATGGTTATTTGACATTAACTTAATTTAAGGGTATTAAATGTCAAATTATAAAGTTGAGGGGCTAAATATGGTATTTCTTAAAGTAATAGATGATAAACAAATTTGAGTTTGGGTAGGAAGTGTAACATCCGACGAGCGGTGTGTCTATGTGCGCGAAAACATAGGTGATGGTATGTGTGTGCGATGATAGTGTGACCGATGAGAGGTAGTTTTCCCAAACAAAAATTATGAAGATGATCAATCGAGGGCAAGAAAGTTTCGTAGAAAAAAAGGAGAAGACAGATGCAAGGCCCGAGAACAAAGCAAGTGTAGCATACAGATTGGAGGGTGATGACGATGCTCCAAATGTAGGCCCAACTCCAAACAACCTGGTATTGAAGCCACAACTAAACCACTAAAGTTGACAGCTCATACAAGATACAGTATTGTTCATAAGCCACATCTTGAATTAATATCTATAATAATTATAGAATTTATCCCTGATTAATATCTATACCATTTTGAGTTTAATCCCCTATGTTACAATCTTCAATGGGCTTCATACATTGGATCACTAAAACTAACGGGCTAACAAGCCAAACCCAATAAACAATAATACACAATACAAATACAAATATGCGCTAACAGCCCCTTATAGTCTAAACAGGAGATCTGGAATGGACATTTAGACTAGATCTAAAATCAAGAAACAAAGTAGAAGGTAGCCCTTGGGTGAAAATGCCAGCATATTGAGACGAAGACAGTACATGAAGAACACGAACCTGATCCAAGTCAACTTTATCTCACAAAGTAGATGTCAATCTCAATATTCTTGGTGCGTTGATGTTGGACCGGCTTAGACGACAAGTAAACTGCGCTGACATTATCATAGTAAACCAGAGTAGCAGTGAGTGGTGGGTAAATTAGCTCACAAAGAAGATTACGAAGCCAACTCGTCTTAGCAACTGCATTTGCAACACCACGATATTCTACTTCAGACGCTAGATCTAGAGATTGTGCCCTGTCGTTTGGAAAACCAAGATAGGAGATTTGGACCAAGAACCACAATAGTCGGAGGTCAAACGTCTAGTGGAAGGACAACCAGCCCAGTCAGCGTCAGCAACGAGACCTCGTGATGACGAAGCATACAACTGTAGACCATGATCCATAGTACCAAGGATATAGCGTAGAATACGCTTTAGAGCGGTGAAGTGAGTCTCTCGGGTCATGCATGAACATACAAACTTGTTGAACGGCGTAGGTAATGTCTGATCTTGTGAATGTTAAGTATTGCAGAGCTCCTGCAAGGCTACAATAAAGAGTCGGATCGGATACCGGAGTGCCAGATCCATCAAACTTGGCGGATGAAAGGAATCCTCATTCGATACATTTGAACATTGATCTTTCTATGAGCAAGTGTAAATCCTCATTAGATATAGATGATGAAAGGAATTGTTACTTCACAAACCTAAACATGTAGCGGTAGCTGCTGTACATGATTTTGTCTATGGTGATCGATATGTAAAAACTTAATTTGAAGATTCTTGTGCAGCCTAGGGTTCTACAGCTTTACATTGAACTATAATCTTTAGTTAAACTAGTTTAATGCAATACTACTTAAGAAGTGCTAATAAGGCTACCTCCTAAATCCTGTTGTTACTGCAAACATGATGCCATGCCTTACAATCAGTTTTACATTTACTAATTACTATGCTTTATTTTATCATGTCACATACAAAATAAGCTGAATAAGATGATTAACTTCTATTGCATGAGTGATCAGAGCTCGCATATGTTATTTGGGTATTCGTCTATTTGGTAAATTACCTTGAGATTTATCATTTATGTATGTTATCTTTAACTTGGAGTACTCATAATTTTTTCAATCCTGTCTACAGCATGATGGTGAGGTGAGCATTGCAAAGGTGCTTTCAATCTCTGTCTTTACTGATTCTGTTTTCTTTTTTCTTTTTTTTTTTCTTTTTTTTTTCTCTTGCTTTTCCTTTCAACATGATGGTGAGGTGAAAATCGCCATAGCTTACTGAAATAGCAATCTACATTAACTTTTGTTAGATACAACATAATGGTTCTGATGATGGGTGGATGGAAGAGATGCGGATGTAATCTTTTCTGCACCAGGGACCAATTATGTGTTCTTTAGCTGCCATAGGGACCAAATAAGTAATGTTTTTCTGCATAGGGACCAATTTTGTGATGTTTTTCTACATAGGGACCATATTGTAAGGCCTATCCCCAACCATTTATAACCGGACATAACAAAACCAAATTAATAGTACAATGCTATAACTGCGTCTGGGTGAAGGCGTTTCGAAATGTCAAAAATCATTATTAAAATCTCCAAATTATGTCCAGACATGTTAAGTTGAAAGTTTTATAATTGAACACCAGAAGGATTAGTCATGAGATGTTAAAAATAAGATAATGAATATGATAACTGGATCCATGGGCGATCTATATTGTGTAAGATCTATCAACCTCTAACCAAGCCATCAAGATACATAAGTGCGTGGATTTTTCGAAGCATATTGTCCTTATGCCTTAAAAGAAGCAAAATTACCAATTCTATAATTGGATAGATTTCACAATCACACACACATACAGACACTACCACACATCCTTTGCTAATAATCTTCTTTTCATAGCATTAATGCTCTTTTACAACAAATTTCATATTCATTAGATTATTGCACTCTTTATTCTTGTTATCTAGTGATGGTTGTAAAATATGAGTGATTTTGGTTGTGTTAAACATTATGTTGTAACAGTAATATGGTTCAATTATGGTTGTTTAATGTTTATCACCATTGTGGGCGATTATATTTTTATTAATTTCGTTAAAAATGAAGAAACATTGTGTATAATTTTTTGCTCACATACATACCAATCATTATTCTGTCGACATGATTTTTGGTGAGATGAATTTTGTACTTTATTGTTGTTGTTATCACTTATCATATACGTATTACATATCACCCATTCCATTACTTTCATCGACGGGCCTCCCTTCACTTTCATAGACATGTCCAAAGAGCCCCTATGGTCTGGCTATGGCCATCACCATCAACGATTATAACAAATAATACAATATATGTTGGCATAAATGCGAACTTATTACTCTTGCAGTGTCTTGTTTTCTAGGAGACCCATAACTACCGATTGAGTCGATTAGTTAACAATTATTCCAGCTGTATGTTGGAAAAAAACTAGGTTTTCCCAATTTTGAAGACAAACTATGAATCTTATCCAATCACAAAACGGGTAAATAATAATATATTTGTGTTCTTTGTGTGATAACTTTGTTTTGGTAAATTGCACATAGACACCGGATGCATAAGAAAGTACCAAATTATGGTGATTTGAACGGTTGAATGACAAATAACTAAACAAAATTTTGGTTTTGTTTATGTAATTAAAACTGAATTATCAATAACTAAACACATTTTCGGTTTTATTTTTGTGTTAAGTTTTAATTTCATATAGTAATTAACCGCTGGTCATCATAGATTATGCGTTATGTATTTACAATATAAATAGGATATTCTTGTATATGGTAACAATGAAGTGAATATGAATTGAACTCTACTTATCTGCCTTCTACAGTTCTACTGCTGCATTTTCTAGTTGCAATCAAGTTAAAGTTCGGGATTTTCTACTTACTCTAAAAACTTGTTTTCTTGAATCTCCACTTCCATTCATGATCCCGTTATGTTGGGTTTGCTAAGTTTGGTCACCAACAATTCAAGGTCACACTTAACGCAACTAAAATCGTAATACATAATATCTAATCCTCAAAACTTTACGTATAGTTAACATCATCAAAAACCATAATAAAAATTGTTTTTCTCACATGTCACGCATCAAATATTATGTAAATTTGTATGCATAAATGGCATTAAACTCCCTTTCAAAATGGTAGTAGCAAATACGAAATTAGATACTTGTGATTTGATTACAAATTTGGCCTACATATGCCACGCTTTACAACAAGTTAAAAGTGCAAGTGGCTCTCAAATTATTCATCACCATTAAATGAATACAACCCTCCCTAGAAATATTCT